GGAAAAAGATACTTTACATTTAAGTTTTAGAATCCTGCAGGTTAAATTTTCTTTAGGAGTTTCCTTCTTTTTATCTCTTAATTGATACAGCACCGAGGAGAAAGTGGATTTAATAAAAGATTCCTACCGACAGTTTATGCTAAATCTTTTCAAAGGCAATTTGACTTTATATGCTGAATTTCACTCGCATGATGAAACACCAACTGCAGAGTATGCTCAGTGCCTTCAAATCTGACTCAGTAAAATGCAGGCATCAAGCTAGGAAATGGGTTATTATACAAAGCAGCAACATTCTCCATTACCAGTCTATTTACTTTTGTCCTGGGAATTTCTGGAAAACATTTGCAGCGTTAAGTTTAGAAAGACAGGGCGGATAGAAATCCTTTCATTACACTCATCTCTAAAGTATTGAGAAGAAGAACAAAGCACAAAACATTATTCAGAAAGACAAATTTGGAACATTACATGCAAGAGGGAGCTGGTATGGCCACTGCTGCTCACCAGGGGCATACAGATGCAAAAGAGGAAACGGTGCAACCTGTATTTGCTGAGGGCAGTGACATTTTATATACACGGCTACAACAGTGGCTGAAGGGAACTGCACAGAACATCATTTAAAGGCCAGGAACATGAACAGCTCTGACTTTTGATCCAGACAATAACACTGCCCTCAGTAGCACTGGCCAATTTGCTCCAACTTTCTGTTTCTCCATTGCAAAGACTGAAACAATTTTTTAATACTTTCTAAGCTGTAGACGTGACAAAACATCTCTGAAGCAGCCTACAAGTATTTAGCCCTCAGTTTGGCCTTAGAGCATTTATTGTTAACATTCATCCTGGATTTCCATCGGTGGTCAGTAACAGCAGGTTTAATTATCACAGAGAGTAGTACGTTGGGAAATGGTGGACTTGAATTACTTGAATCCATTCTAATTTAATCTGCCACTCATTACATTATTTTTCAGTTAGGAAATTCTAAAATGTGGTTTTGCAGGGCTACTGGTTACGTTTCAAGCAGTAATTCATGGAAGTTCACTTCATCATCCAAATGCTGCCATGGGTTCGTGTAGATCTGTTTTCAGCCTGGGTGTGTTTGGTTCAAAGAGCAGCTGTCATTTGTCTCACATTTTACCTAGTCAGTGATAAAATTTGCAATTCTTTCTAAAATGTGTATCTTGTTGCTTGATTGAAATAAGTTTACGTTCCAAATAATCTTCCCCCAAGGCCTTCCTTACATCCTGTTTGTCTGCTCTAAACTCTCCCTTGTTTGTTGTTGTTTGCACGTGCATGCACATGTAATTCTCCCATTTAATCATACTCTGGTTAAAAGAGGATTAACAGATTCTGCCCTTAGTATTTCTGGATCCCCATGAGTACTTATTTATATTGAAGCAGAATCCAATTATCTTGGATAAGTAACTGCAGGACAACAGCCTTTGTTAACTATAATAATTAATGTTATTTTTACATCTTGAAGTCATAATCCCTCCCTTTTCTTAAATTTTTATTAATGTTTTCATTTATGTGGTTATCTTGATTTACACAGGGAATGCCACTGAATTGTCTCTAAAATATGCCACACGAATTAAGAGGTTGTGTAGAATATTAATTATGCAAAGTATTATATAATTTATTACAAAAACAAAGGTTTATTTTGAAATTTTGAACACAGACGTGATTGTTCTTTATCTCCTTAATTATTACAAACTTTTTTGCACTTGGAATTCATTACCCTTAGAACATTACCCTTGAAAAGTTTAGTAGCCAAAAAAAGTGAAAGTCACAGAAATTAACCTGATATTATCTGATCTCTATTCCTCAGCTGTCATTTACTGCATCCTCTCTGTGAGTAATGAAAAGGAGCAGTTGGGAATTTTGGTTTTTTGTCCTTGGGAACAATAGCCAGCCCCAGGCTCTGAGAGTCCACCCTGCATTTTATTTCTGCATAATTTATCTTTCACAACAAAAACATCCTAGCCCTGGTACTAACTATTCCATTTCTGAAATAAATCTTTCCAATAGAAAGGAAGCAAATTTATTTTGAGGATACAATTGAACATCTATTTCGGAAACAAAGCAGTGTGTCTTTAAAAAAAGTTATGTAACTTCAATATAGTCTAAATTCACCCTTTAACCTCCATAGACATGCAATTAAAGTATAACTGCAGAAAGTTCACCATGCTTTTATTTTCCCTAGCTGGCTCTCTATCTTAACCAATGATATGATATACTTATTAAAAGGGAGCTTTCAATAAACACTTTTTTTTTCCTTTGGATTGCTGGATCTAGTCTATAATCTACCTTCTTGGTAGGCAGTAATTCCATTGACTATAATTTTAATGCAATTTTAAGAATAATTCTCATCCTAATCTTAAAAACAAACAAACAAACAAAAAAAAAAAAAAAAAAAAAAAAAAAAAAAAAAAAAAAAAAAAAAAAAAAAAAAAAAAAAAAAAAAAAAAAAAAAAAAAAAAAAAAAAAAAAAAAAAAAAAAAAAAAAAAAAAAAAAAAAAAAAAAGGGAATTTTTTAAGAGAAGGAGAAACAATTCGAGGGAGTCAAATCTACAGTCTGTGCACCTTCAATCTCAAATGTTGCAAACTGTCCTACCTCAGGATGAAATGGTATTATTCCATGAAAAAGTCCAGTTACTATTACAACTAAAAGCCTGCCTACTTTGTAGCAGAAGCAACAATCATCATGAACAATTCACAGGCCACTGGAATACTGCTGAATAAACAATTTAGTGCAAGGCCTGTGGCTTAATATTCACAGCTCTTGAGGAGACTAAAGGTTTGGAAGGCTGCCTTTCCCCTATTTGGCACTTAGGTAACCCATGTGCCTGACCCCCTGGGAAAAACTGGACAACAATCAAAGTACCCAGACTATACCAGGCAATTAAAAAAAAAAAAAAATTAAAAAACAAACAAACAAACAAACAAACAAAAACCAAAGAGATTAAATCAGAATTTTAACACTTTGAAAAATTAATGCATCCCTTCAATCCAATCACACCCCACGATCATTACTTCTTCCACATATGGGTACCACCACCCTTATATGTAGAGACATGAAGAATTAGTCTTCAGATTCCAGAAATCTCTGATTTTTAAAGTGGGAAATTTGCCAGAACTAGCAGGCTTATTCAAAATAAAAGACATTTTCTCTTGATGAGTAATGCAACTAGAATCAGTAATGATTCTTGTGTTGCTAACTGACTTGATATTTACTTCATAGCTAAGTATTACTACAGTATAAAAACACTAAACGTATTTCAGAAAGCTAAGAACTGCATTTGAAAATTTGTTCTCACAAGCTCTGAGCATTTAAACCTCCTCCATGGGTCATACTTTGCTTTCTAGATCTCAAAGTGAAAAAAACCCCCAAGAGTTACCCATTGCAGGGATGGATTCTGGCCTGGCTTTACTACATCAGCACATTGTCCCCTGCAGAACATGAGGAACCACTTCCTACCCCCCAGTCCTTTTCCCAGCACAAATAAACCCAACTCGTAAAAGCCCAACGTGTGCAGGGTAAGCACACACATCATTTGCCTTTATGCCAACGTGAAACCAAGATTACAGACCTCTTCAAATTACGTAGTCATGCTTTTTCTTTATATCCCAACAACTTAACTGAATAAACCAATTAGAAATGAGATTTCCACTGATAGGAGATTATGAATGAAGAACCATTAAAGCACTTAAAAAAGCAACCATTATTAATGATTTAGTCCTTTGAGATTTTGATTCTTGACTGGGGAGCTTCCAGAGGTCTTTATTATAATTCTGCACACCACTGAACAGCCTTTCCATGCAAACTCTGTGAAATCATGAAAATAGAAAAGTTTTGTTTCAGCCCACACTTTTTCCATAAAATCACCGTTCTTTTGTCGAATATAGTTCCCATAAAATAGGAATGCATTGTGAGAGGAGCACAGAATATAGTTATTGTATGCAATAAGGTTGTGGCAAAAAAAACAAAGTGTTTCACATCTTTCTTTCAGATTTTTGTTATTCCTAAGAAAAGAAAAAAAAAAAAAAGGAATCTGGTTTGTCACAAAGCTAAGAGAAATTTAGAAATTTAGTTTTGCAGAATTAGTTTGATTGCTTAAACATCTCTCACAGGTGACTATGACAGAAAAATAAGCCACAATCACCAGTGAAAGCAGAGAAGACCAGTTGGCATACATGCTAATTAAGATCCATTAAAAAAAATTGAAATTCAATATGTAGAATATTAGTTATTCTTTGTGAAAAACTCTGAATCATTTTAAAAGGGTAACTGTTACAGGACTTTCAACTGCTTCTTTTTCTTTCACAGAGGCCCAGAGATATGTGGGAACACAGTGACTTTTGGAAAAACTGGATTTTCATCCCCCAGAACACAATGAGACCTAGTTAACAGCATGACATGTCCCTCTGCATAATTTTTTTTTTTTCAATTAGGTTTCACACAGTGCTGTTATATAGGACCCATCTCTAAGAATGAAAAGAGGAGTGCAGTCTCCAGCACCCATCCAACCCTTCATTTCTTACCCAAGACTACCAAACAAAGAGGTGGTTACATTGGTTACTCCACATCAAATGAGCTGAGATCACCAGCTCATTTCTTGGAGACCAAGGAAGAGTTGCTTTAGTTTAAAATCAGAAGGAAAGTAAAGAATATAAAGTTTAGCCCACAAACCCACAGACAGAAGAGATTCTCCTTTCAGGAGTTCCTATTGTGAATAATTTAAAAGAAATCTCCTGTCTTATCTGCCTTCTGGAGCACATGTCAATGCTATGGATTCCACATGTGACCCACCAGCATCTCAAGACAGCATATGCCCTTTGATATCGAAATAATTATACAAATCTAACTTTTGTCAGCTTTGTGTCATGGTAATTGCTAGTTCATATCTATTAATCTGTTTGTTATAAGAAGATCATTTCAATCAGAATTCATAATCAGGACTGAAAGGATTTTTAAAACAATGAAGAAAATCAAAGCTTAAAACCAGTTTGTGTAACTAGGCCTAGAATTTATTACTCCTGAGAGAACAAAGATACAAAATACATGTGAAAACTACACAAAGATTTCTACAAAGTAAAAAGTAGAAAGTGGGAAAAGGGAAAGCTACAGCTCAGTGGTTACACAGAAATGTAGGGCATGCATTAAAATATTGTAAATTCATGAAGTTTTTTTTTAAGTGCAAATGGTTTTTTTTTAACAGTTCTCACTGAAAAATATGCAAATTGATACCTATGTTGTACACTTGTCATATTATCAGAAAGACACCAACACAAATCTATGCATATATACATCAATATGTCCAAAGTACATTTCGTGGTTCTGTTATCCATAGGCACTGGTTACAAGTCCGTCCAATACTCAGTTTCAGAAATTAAGTGGTAGCACTTATAGAACATTTCTCAAATACTACTAATAAAGGAATTTGTTTTTAAAATACCAAGAGGATGAAATAATTTGCATTGCCATTTATAAGCATCCAACAACCAAAGAAGTATTTACAAATCGTTAACCATACAGATAAAGAACAGTATCAAATACTCTGTGTAAAAAGATAAATAATTAAAATGTATATTCCCACATCACAAAGAAATGTGATCATACAAATTATGGCACCATATGTTTGTGAAACATCAAAAATAAATGTAGCACATAGATACCTCTTCTTATATTTTACATTAAAATGTACAGTACAATGACTGTAAAATGTCAATGTCATGACACCCATCGTCTTCAAAGTCTTGTTTCTGATAAGAGCAATTATTATTAGAGTCCGTGTTTATAAAGAAATTCCATACTTCAGCCTTGGGCTAATATTGCTCTGTGATACTGCTAGAACATGAAACTTATATCCTGAAAAAGTTACATATTTCCTTTAAAATTATCTAATAGAAAGAGCTATTTGACATGTGAATATTCTGGGAGGAAGTGTGATAGATGCACTCTATTTCTCTGTGTAGCAAAGTATGGGTTAAAAAAAATAGCATTCTTATTTTTAGTCACAAATATCTAATTTATTAGAGAAATATTTTTTAAATTGAGGTTTATCCATTTAAGATTTTAATCATGAACAGTACTGCAATTTCAGCACATAATTAGGGTTTTTGCTAAAGTACTTAAACTTCCAAACCCTAATCATGTATCTCATTATGAGAAATGGATCAGAAAATCTGGAACACAACAGCGCTATGGAGCTCAGAATGCTGACACCCTGTTTTGTACTCTGAGGGTGAATGAGATAATTATAGCACATGGATATGTTTCAAACGTTTGTCTGCATGTGTCCATTTCTGGGCACATGCCAAATCCAAACAAAAGTACATTGTTAAAGGCAACCAGAAATATTACAGTTAGCACAGACTAAGGCAATTAAAATCTTTTTTTCCTTTTTTTTTTTTTTTTGTAAAAAAAAAATAAGGTGCAGAGAGAATTTTCTTTCTTATTTTAATGGGTGCCAAATACTGATTAACAGTGCCAAGGAAAAGTAGTTTTACATAAAAGGAAAGACTATTAAAATCTAGAAATACCTGAATTGGATCTCTGATATCCAGATTTTTCCTGATTACCTGCAAAAGGAGTTGGGGGTGGATAGTTGGCTTCTGTGAGTTTACTGATGTCTGACGGTGGTGTCGGTGGTGGCGGTGGTAGCAAAGTGCTGTTAGGGCTACTAATATCTCCTTCAGCCACAAGAGTCAAGTCTGCCACATTGTCATCATCTACCATCTGTATGCCTTCGGCTTGTAATTCTCTTGACTGCCTTTTCCACACTGCTGCATTGTTTTCCTGTGCATGCGGAATGGGAGACAATGGAGGACTAAAAGGAACGACAAAAGTCTTCTGACTGTGGAGCGCTGCCAAGGCAGATTTATGTTTATTTTCTGAGTAACCCATTTTCTTAGCTGAATTTTCATTAAAGTTTTGTATGGACTCCTGTTTTGCACTTGGTGGTGTACATCCATCACTGCCATCATTTTTTGAAACTCGCTTGTTGAAGCCTTTAGGACCTGCGGGAGTAGATGAGGATGGTTCTGGCCCAGTGGGTGGTAAACGAAGAAAGTCAGGAAGAACAAGGTCTTCTTTCCTTAGCAGTCCACGTTGGTCATCTGCTCTGTTACTTTGTGCTTTGGATATGAGTTCAAAAAATTCTATTGGGGAAAAACCCAAAATTGACAAGTTTTTGTCAGAAAGTGCAATGCCATTAAAACGTACATTTTCAGCACATTTATTTTCCATGAAGATCTTCAATTCTGTCAATGCTGCCTTGAAATAAGATCCCATGTTAATTAGGAACTTTTTCAATTGCAGCAATGTTCACTAGCATCACTATAATTAAGACCATCAGCATTGCTATTGTAAGAGTTTTGCAGTTTAGAACAGCTGCAATTCACTGAGCCTTGAACACATCTTCTATTTTACGCAGTTAATAAATCTGTACACACACACAGGATTTTTTTTAATTCTTTATACAAAACAAGGCTCCGGTCTTACAGACAATGGGTGCACGTTTTTATATTCTGGATGGGTTTTACCCATCTTAACTCAAAAATAGCCATGCCATTTGAACATTCAAAGACTCAGAATGTTGCGAACTTCCTTATTATATTGAATTTCTCTCAGTTTAATTATATTTTATCACAGCTTAAATTAAATTCGTGGTGTAGTTTTAAACCAGGATGTTATCATCACAGGGTATGATCAGATGATGATTTAGGTAACCCCATTTTTGCTTGGTGCTGAAATGGATCAGTAGCTTACAGGTAGTCAATAACCATCAAGGAACCATTACCAAAAGCGATGGGGCAGCTTTTTTATTGAGGTTTTAACGCAATTAGAAGTGATTTTCTGATCATGTCCTTAATGATATCCAATGGTTTAATATCTTTCTATATATAAATAATACTCATAGTAAATCAACACTGTTCTAGAAAGTTTCAAAACTTGGCAACAAGAAACGTATCAATTATAAACCAAGATTTATACCACTCCTCAAAAAAGAAGCATCGCAACAATAAAAAAACTCTTTGGTACAAAACATATACATATAAAAATATGTAATTCTTAATATAGGGTCTCTGCATGTCCTACTTTTTCAAGAAGAGAGCACTTTAACTACTGAATATTAAAAGATGCTTAAAAAGGCCATCTCCAACAGGTTAATTAAGATCAATAGTTTCAATCCAGCTTATAAATATTGTTTGAAGCAAAAGCCATTACAAAACCAAGCAAGAGAATGTTAACATCACTTTTAACTTAGCATAATGTGAAGTCATACACTTGCACTTGTATGACCTTATTCCTAATCCTCTATTCATATTTGGCAGGCTTTGCAATGTATCTGTAAAAATGACTTCTCAACATGCTTTGTCAAATGCCATAAAATCTGAAGGTAGACAAGACGGAAGCTTCCAAATGCTTCTTATTGCCAAAGTTTTGCAAAAATGGCGGTAGGCATATTAAAACATGCAACATTTCTAAGATGTGTCACACAAAAATGTTTCTTTCTGAAATTTCAAAGTTCATAGGACAGTTGTTTGTTTGTTTTTTTTCATTAAAAACCAGTCTACAACATTTGGTACGCATTTTCCAAACTCTGACAAATTTCACAAAATTCAAAATAAAATGTGAAAGTCTCGAATTCTGAAGTTTTCAAATTATGTTAATGTTTTACTCAGTCCTAGGAAGAAAAATGAAAATATTAAAAAATGTGGAAAACAAGTTAACAAAATAGTAAGCAACAAAAAATAATTTAAAATGCACTAATATTTTGTAATAACACATTAAAGGCATCTATTTTGCAATAAAACTTTTAGCCATAGCATTTTTTTTTCAGTTCTAGGCAGTGGACATTTATTCACAGATGAACATTCACAGATAAACATTCATTTGCTGTATAAATGTACATAACCAGGTTTTGGATATGCATACTGGGTTACTTCAGCAGTAAATTTTAATTTGATTTTTTTTCTGCTTGGGAAAACAGGGAGGAACGTGTAGGGCTGACAAGACAAACAATTGTTTCAGTTAATGTCCCAGGGCAGAGGGTGGTATATCAAGATTTCTAGTGCTACATCATTTTTATTCCTCTTTCTCCCATGGACATCTTTCTATAAGAAAGCAAATTCTCTTTTGATTTTTTTTTCCAATGATATCACCAGAACTATCAAGATGTAATGAAGATAAAAATAGTACTCAGAATATACAAGATTACCAATGCTTGTTTCTACTTCCGAGCACCTTTTCAGGGCACATGCCGAACGTAAACTAAGTTTTGCTCTTGCCCATCACAGCTCCTCCACAGTTAACAGACTGTACTGCCCTTCAGCAGAAACTACAAAAATTCTTACCTGAGAAAGTCAGGATCTACACTACTGTGCAAAATGCCTTTCAGTGAGTTGAACACTCACTTAAAGGTGAACAGAAAGGCAAGCTCTACATGACTTGCAAAGGGTACCAAATGGGATATTCAACTGCAGTTGAGTAACTAATTCCTTTTTTTTTTTTTTTTTTTTTTTTTAACAGGAATTAGGTACCTTTCACTTTTGAAAATCCCACTAGGTACCTACATCTATCTATAGGTACTTTAACTATACCTTCAACTTAAAAAAAAAAAAAGGACAATTCAAACACAGCAAACAAAAATATTATGACCATGACTGATTTCACAACACAGTATTAAACACATGGCACCTTATCCCACACAGATACAAAATTCTCATTTTTCTAAGACTACTTATGTTAATATGTAAGCTATAAAGTTCACATACCCTCTGCTTCATCCAAATTAATTTTCTGACATTTTTTTTTTCCAATCTTTGCAATAGAGTCTTCTCTCTTTGACAGCCGGACTTCCCTAGCATTTTTTCCATTTTCGCCTTTCATTTTGATAGAATTAGATTTTCCTAGAGTTCTTCCCTCTCCCTGCATTAGAAGGAAAGTTAAGGTACTACTTACATGTAGGCTACATCACTGTGTACATAATATGGTCTAAGGGAATGAAAAAGTTATTTTGGAAACACATTTTTCTAACACAGCAATAAATGCTTTAGTTTTGTCTTGATTATGGCATAGAACATTTGCCATAGTAGTTCCCAAAAATGTATAAATCAATTTAATATTGTTTACTCTGAAGAATTCATGTAGCAGAAAGGGCCTTTGAATCTCAGAGTAATTAAAATCATTTTCAAACACAGATAAGCCAATGAGACACAAAACAACAAATACAACACATGAAGACAAAGTTCTCACAAATAGATGCTGCTGACAGTGGAAAAACATCAGATGAGTTGTAGCTATATTCAATCTAGTTACATAATTTAGCTGATTCAAAATCATGGATGAATGCAGCCTTTTGTATAGAATTCTAGAAGGAAACAAAAGATGATCTAAGGGACAAAATTCATTGCAGAAGACTTACAGTAGATGCTTGACTTCTTGAACTAGATACAACTGCAGTCTGTTTTACCAATTGAGCTTTTTGTCTCTCTGTAAACAATAAACATAAACATGCCTTCCATAACTACCAATTCCTCATTTCCCAAAGAAGCAATATTTGGGTGACAATGATTCACAAAACAGATTGCTGCTTTAAAATTGCTCAAAGACGTATCAGAAAACAAAAAGAGGGAACACAGCTAATATCCCTGATACTTTTCAGTCAAAAACTCCCAGAATCTCCCTTCCATCTTCAAATTTTCCTCATACTGGCAATACTTTTAAAGTTTAAAGATGCTGAACTTTTACTTCTAAATTTCCAGTTGCTTTAGACCAAATAATTTTAAAATCTGAGCCAATAATTCAGTTTGCAGTTCTTAAATTTAGAATTTAAACAAGAAAAAAAAAATCAGCAGAAAAGACCATTGAAAGGTCATGTTGAACCTTTTCCAACCTGTTTCATGCATCAACTGTTTTGCAGACATTGCCGTATCTTCCTTGTCACCTTCTAAATAACCAAATGGCTCCAGCAAATTTCACCTGCCTACAGTAAATACACTAACACAGAACCATGGCCCTCTTTCCCTGGTACACTGTCACAGAACCAACTCTCTTCTAGAATGATTCTCTGTGATTTAGTCTTTTACAGCCACTGACAGCACATTGGATTTAGGCTTTTTTTGCAATCCTTACACTAATTACCCATGGGAGTATTTAGACTGTTAACTTTTTCCCAAAAAACAGTTGGTTCTGTTTATTAGAAAAACGACAAATGCGGTTCTCCTCAATAAATGCCTCCATCTTTATTATCCTCAAAGACAGTCTCTGCTCCAAGTGTATTTAATTTAACCTAATATCTAATTTAATTTCTAAAACTAAGTGTTCCGTACCTATAAAAAGGTCTCCTAATGAAACCAAATCTTTACTCTCAAGGCTGCTTACATTAATCTAGAGTGTTAATTGTGTCAAAAGATTGCCAACTGTTCAGCAGACAAGTTTTTATTTTTCTAATTGTTTTTGCTTAGGGTAATCACAAACTATATCCTTTTTAGTGTTAACTATAGAAATAATCACTTAAATCCACTTAAAACTGGAAAAGTAGGCTCTGCTACTTTCTCATGTTAAAGAAAGAAGTTATCATATCAATATATATAACTGCTGCCCAAATTGCATCTGTTTTACTTATACAGAATGTTTCTTATTAAATAATTGCCAAATTCACAGAGGTTATCTGGCACTTTATTCTCATCATTATTACTAGGCACTATGTCCCTAAATATGTATATGAATACATGGCAATATATGGCTGAATGCAAATAAAATATTCAAATATTACTAGTGCAAAATTTCTTACAGCAACAATAAAAAGACTTCTACTAAAAGATTAATTTAATCTTCAATCTTCAGAAACTGCACTCCTTTTTAGTTAAAAAGAATACATGCTCCATGTGACAAATCTGAATTGAATCCCATTTCTCTCACCTTCACATCACAGAGTCAGGGTTCATGAAACTCACTTGACATCATAAATGAAAGCTTTTGTACCAACTCACCTCTCCCTTTTGTTGGTTCTTTTTCATCTAGAACAACCCGCTGACCATCCAGATTAGATATAGGGACACCAAGATCAAGTGGTTCCTGCTCACCATTCTAAAGTCAGATCACAGTTGGTATATAAGAGAAAAAGCTGTTTTCAGAACAAATTTGTGCAGTCTGACATTTTTGGAAGAGAATAAGCAAAGCATCTTTACGTTTTAGCGTAGCCTCAACATATCCTTCTTCCACCACTCTAAAAATGTTTATTTCATTGGTGTAAAGCTACCTTGATTTCAGTGAGTGTAACCCATTTCTTGTGAGGAGAAAGGTATTTGGGGAAAGGAAGATACATGGAGGAAAAAAAAAAAATCATCCAATTTGTAGGTGTGCACGAATACTCTAGAACCATTCCTGTCTATCTTCAGCACACCATATTTTTCAGAGGATGTTTGAGATATTTTATATTCTAAATTGGTTGTACTTTGTTAATTTTGTAATTTTATTAAATGAAGTTATCTTTATATCAACATGTTTTTCAGTTATCTTAAAAACATGGACTGGTTCAGCTATGAGAGGATACATACTAGAAATACCACAAAAGCAACTTTACTTTCCTGGATATTTCAGCAAAATAGTATAGAAAACATGTAGCCAAGTGCTCAGGAGAAGAGAAGTTGAATCAGTCTGCCTACAGAAAAAGTTTCTGCAAGGGGATTTGAGGCAAACTTTCATGATTTCCAGGATAATGGAACAAAGTTTTAATCCAGTCAACTTTCCTTGGCTAATAATGGGAGTTGAGCTCTGGAAGAAGCTAAATTCTAGTTTGGTAATTTAAGATGTTGGATTTATTCTGAAGGGGAATATAAAACAGATTCAGACTAAATATTTGAGGAAACTACTATTAAGAATAATGGTTATGACTATGATGTATTTTATCTCAACATCCAGCTACATCTCTTTTAATGCCTGTCAGGATAGGAATGATTTCAGGGAATATTGCATTATCTTCTCCAGACAGAAAGTATCGGCATTTGAATTACATCAAAAGATACTTACTAGTCTTGCCACAAGTTCATTAAGATTTAAACCATATTTTGCAACCACAGGCCTTAAGACCTCTGTTACTGGTTTGGTGGGTTTAGCCTTCAAACCAACTGACCGATTGATTGGAACAAGATCCAGCCTGAAACATATCAATTGTAGCATTAAGTATGAAATATTCCAGTAAATAAAATTTACCAAAATATATAAAAACCAAACTACAGCAAAGTTATACTAGCAAGTAACTAGCTGAAAATCCAGTAGCACAAATTTATTCTAAACTGAGGTATAAAAAACTTTTAATTCAAATAAAAATTCTATTTCACTCTCCAGAGCTGAGTGAAGGCATAAGCCAACCTATTTACATGATGATCCTCACAGCAATTAAATCATCTTTACAGAAATTACTCTGACCATTCTGGTCCAGGAGTATTTCCAAAGTGATTCCACACCTGAACTACGGACTTGGATGCATGAAAAAGAGTTCTTCCCAGTTCCTCAAGAGACTCACAACTTCTTATTCAATTACATGAGATGGGTTTGGACAAGTATTTTTACTTCAAAGCAGAGGAACAAACAGTGGAATTCCAAATGATGCTACTTTTGGGTTGGTGCCACCATATCAGGAAAAACTGCTGTAAGAGAAACTAATATACCAAAGCTGTAAAAGAAATTCCCTTGGAACTTAAAGGCCAAAGACAGCTCTCTTCAGAGTCTACTATGCCATTTTCTATAATTTCATTAAAAAGGCAAACAATAATAAAAAAGAAAAAATTAAACCCTAAACAACTAATTCATTAATATCTACTCCCCTGCACAGACCTGTGCCTAGTTTTGTTATATATTTTTTACATGCTCTTCCATCTGTGCCCTGATTCCTCCATAACAGGTTCATTTGACTATAATGGCACTATAGTATGAAAAAAAGGGGCAGGCTTATTGCTAACAAAACTACCAGAAGAAATGTGCATTACCAGAAGAAATGACACTTACTGGTAATTTTGTCAGTCACAATTAAATGTAAACCCCATCTCTCTCTCACACAAATTACTTAAATACAAGATGTTTAGTCATGTTGACTTTCCCCTTCCAAGCAAAACACGAATAACCAAAAATTTGTCTTTCACATTTTCTTTGAAGTCAACAGCTACTGAATCAAAATGATCAATTTTAATCATTAACTGGTAATTGACACAGAAGCAGAAAACATTCAGGAAACCCAGTACAGACACACAGTATTTGTCTTGTGTCTGAAAATGTTCCAAATATTTGACTGTATTTGCTTACAAAGTGTCTACCCAGAAAAAAGAATAATGTAGAAGTTTTGTACATTTTAATTAACACACAAATAACATATGGTACTGCCTACTTAAAGCTGCTTTTTAATTTGGAAACTCAACAAACTCACACCTAATAAAAGACTGCTCGATCTCAATTTCAAAAGTGAATATTCTGTGCAACATTTATTAACCTGAAGTACCTTAAGTACTGACTACCCCTGCTTCCTAAAGAAAAGCAATATAAAACCAAAATGAAGAATGCCTAACAAAATAAACTTTATTCACTTCAGAAGTGCAAGTCACTAATGTAACACAAACATTTTACTCCATTAATTTTTCCTGAAATAATTATTTCAAGAGTTTTCATAGCACTCATTTGGATTCACTTTGGAAAAAAATACAGATTATTTTGATAAAAAGTATGCCATCAAATAATATTACAAAAAGCTAAATATATAATGTACCAAATTATATTACATCATACTAATAATTTAACATTGACCTGCTTAAGATTCAGAGCTATAAATCTATAATCAGACTAATTTATATTTATACATTTAGTCTTAGTACATTTTCCAGGTGGGCATGTAATTACAGAGGTAACTGAATGGGAACATGTAATCAATAAATATATCTATTTCATCTTAAGACTAAGAGACTGGCAGTTCAATTTCCATTCCTTTCTTGTGCTACTTCAATCTACTAAACATGTCCCTTCCTGATGTGGAAGGTCCCTCTGGGCCTGCAGATCTGTCCTATATGCCTGTTCCCAACTGCTCCAGCTTGAGCAGTTTGACATAGAGTACTATTTAAATGTCCCTGATCTGGAACACTGGCATCAAAATCCCACTTGTATCCAAGACAGCAATCCGGAAAGCTCCCTCCTGCAGCATGGAATACTCATCAGGTGCTGCTCCACTCAGTTTGAAACGTCCCTGTAGGCCCCTGTTTCTCCCATGGATCCTTACCCTGGTTGTCCTCATGAGAGTCTTTGCTTGATAGTTCGAATTACTTATTTTAATGTGCCTGTACAATGAATGGGAACCTCAGATCCCCTCATGCTGGACTCTGGATTATAATCTAAGATGCCGCGTTACATGGCTGGCTGGATTTTTTTATTGAATTCAGACAAATTCTTTTCTACATCAACTACTGTTTTGCTGCACAGGTAATTGGAAACATACTTCAGCACACTCACAGAAAGTAAAATGGAAAATGGGGTGGAAAATGCCAGAGGAAGACAGTATTCTTGACTCTTACCGAAATAAAGTGCGTTTTTCTAAACGTAGATCCCGAGACTCCAGGATACTACTGTCTTGGTGCAAAACCAGTGGCTATAGAGCACATGTCAGGAATAAAAGAAGAGAAAGAGAATTCATTTAAAAGAACAGCTGTACTTTAATTTTTTTTTTAAATACTCAGAAAATTATTAATTTAGCTTGCATGCATTTTAGTGAATACTGATCTACAACATGGAACATGATTAAAGTGTGTTTTATTTTGGCTAGTTGTGAAACTTCCCCTGGAGTCAGCAGGTATTCAGGAACTTGGTATTTAGAAACAAGCCTAGGTTCTTCAACTTAAATAAATTACAGAGAATGATGTAATAGAAAATACGGCCAGCTAACAGTCTTTAAAAGATTTAAAAGAAAAAGCCCATAGCTATGCACGTTCATTGATTTTCGTCCCTGTAATCATCTAGACCAAGCAAAAGCACACATCTAAGAGAATAAATGCTTCACATCCACAGCTTCTCTTTGAATTGGAAGATGCTTCTGTTGAACTAAGCCATCACACAGACACACCCCCATCCATACAGACTGTTGTTTTGGAAATTTTCCTCAATATGAAAACCTGTACCTTATTTCTAGCGTTAATGCGTCACATTCATCTTTGAACAAATGAATGTCACTATGTGTTTTGCTTTAATGCAGTACCATCTACTGTAACACATTTGTTTGCTTTGTGGATATTTTCAGTTAAATACAATCTAACATTTTCCCTGGACAAACTACACGGAGTAGATACCTAAATTAACTTATTATTGTAAGGAAATCTTTGTCACAATCTCTCTTTTGCTTTCTGTAATGTAGACACCATAGAAAATCACAGAACAGTTAATCTAAAGTTAAAGTTTCACTAAAATTCTCCTTCAATTAACCAGCATTGCCAATGTAAAGCTACAGGCAGAACCAGGAGGTACACAACAACATTGAGAGAACAGAATTCCTGATTAGTAAAAGGAGTATGAAAATGTTCAAAAAAAACAAAAACAAAAAACCACACAGGAATATGCAATACCTTATCACCTCCAACTAAAAAAAGGTCCACTGCAGCTATATTAATGCCATGCTTCTCACAGAGCCCAGATAGCACCTCTTTGATGGAGAATCCAGATTTAACAGCCATTTTGCTGGATGAACCATCCGGAAGGTTTACACAGCAGTATTTGGGGGATTTCTCTTTATCTGGTACAAATGCAGGCAATCTTGAGGTTTCAGACTTTAAAGGAAAAAGAAAGGTCAGTGCCCAATGGGAAAATTAGGACTCTGTGTGTGTGAACTTCTAGAGTCTGCATGAACCAAACCTAGCCAGAAAGCATACTTTCTACCATGTTTTAGAAATCCTTTCAAATACCACAAATATCAGATAAATTTAAATCCTGGGGCGGGGAGGGTGTGTGGGGGGGAGAATTTAGATAAAGATAACAACACTGCACAAATCTAAATTTATATCAAGAACAGATAAATTTTAGGCAGCGAGTGGGTAAAACAGTTACAAGATTCACTGTTTTTTTTAAGACAAGAAATTTTTCTGTACCAGAAATAGACATGACTTCGCCATGCTTGTTGCCCTGATCAATATTTGCAGCATAGGCAGAACTACATAATCACTACAATCTAGTAACACAGAAATCAGCCTAATGCAACTTGCATACAGGCCAAGAAAAGGGAAAGCTTTAACATGGGGTCGTTCAGAACAGAATCTCAAAGCTCTTTATAAAGCTGTTTATAAAAAGCCCCTTAAAACAGAAACTACTTTGGAAGTTCACTGGTACCTGAGGTCAAGACAGACGAGATGCAAAGCATATCTTTCTGATACAAGGACAAAATAAGAAGCAGTATATGAATACAACCTCTATTACATGTCTAATATTCTAAAATTGCCTAATATTACATCTTGTGCTCTAACTGTATCACTTAAAAACCCTATTCCAAAGTATTACATCAAACAAATTACATCACACTACTTAGAAAATTAGTAATTCACTGTTTTATCTGCTTCCCCACTTCATGGGTAAGAGCCAGCCATTACCAAGTCAAGACTAGCAGTTGAAGACATGGAGCCTTGTGATTCCCGTCTGTATGACAATCCATTGGACTGAAAAGAATCTGTTAGTGAAAAGAATCAGCAATCAGTAAAGAGGTTTGTTATTTATTAAAAAACAGAAAACTATTTCAAATATTAGCTCCTCCTCTGGTGAGAAAAATTATTTTTTTCATTAAAGGAAAAAAAGCCACCAAATCTTTACACTGTGCACTGATGCATGGACACCAAAACAACTTCTGGTCAAGTGTTTCTTGGTTATGTAACCCTTGAATAAATCCACTTGCTTTTATATCTAAAAAACCAACTGAACCCTTTTTTAAAAAAAATGTAATTTGATTAACTGGTTTAAATAAGATTTAAACATTATTTTACCTCTTCAGCTATTTTGAAGGGAAATAAGTATTTTTAAAAGTGCAAATATGGTGTTAGAAAAATAAAATATAGGACAATTACTAGTCACTTTCAGAAGGTTAAGTTTATAGTCTTAGCAAATGTCTCTGATATCTTTTCATATATGAGTATAATGAGAATACTTAAACTATCCATCTGATCAAAGATATCTTGTGGGCCTGGGCATTTACCAGAAGCAAAAAACACAGTAACAATATGGACTAAATGTGGTGCTTCCGGGGAATTTGTCCATTACTTTTAACTCAATGGAATGATTTAATGCAAAACTTTCATTTCCTCTTCTAGAGGCCATGTACAGGTGCTTTCATAAGGGAATTCTTCCTTAAACTCTCGAACACATTAAGTAACAAAACAGCAAGGTTTTCACAACTGACTTTTACAGGTAGTAACTGTGTTCAAAAGAGAACATACCTGTGTGGTACTGATAGAAAGTAGGATTATGCAGATGGAGGAATTTTTAAATAGCTGTAATTATAGCACTATTTGCATGCACTGCTCCTGAACTTTTCTGTAAAGATTTGAAATTATCTTACTATAAAAATAGTAGCTCTCTGCTTAAAAAAGCAATTACCAGCACACAGAAAGGCACAATGTACTGATAAGTTGAAAAAAAGTCTCGTGGAAGTCAATAAAAACAAGCTTAAATATTTTAATATTTTCATCTATTTACTTTTATATCTGCTTCCGCAAGACTTGCAGTGCTATTAGCCACGCTAAGGCCTTCTGACTCAACAGTTTCTTTTCCCCTTTGTCACTTCCAAGGATGCACCTGGATACAAACTAATCATGATGAGATTAGTCACATCTGTTACTGAAACAACCCTGAAACAAAGCAGAATGTGAATACTCACCGTTTGGATAATCACCATTTTCTCTTCTCTTCTGTGATTTTCCCAAACTCTTACTTCTCGACCATGAGAAGAACGTTCCCCTTTTCTTCTTTTCAGTGTCCTCCTCTCCCGACTCTTCATTTAAAGATCTTCCTGACTTTGATTTACCACTCAGCTATCACCAAAACACAATTAAATCATTGGTTGGATCACAGTTGTAAGTATATTGTCTAAAATAAACCTTCCCACAGTTCTTCCTAAAACCAGAGTGTGATGGTCAGGTTAGCTGTCTTCTTTACCCCACGCACAAGTGTATTAGAAAAAAAACAAAAACAAAACAAAACAAAACAAAAAAACCCAACAAACAAACAAAAACCCAAACAAAACACCAACAACAAAAAAACCCACCAGTAGAAACAAAAGAAATATATAGATGCAAATGTGCTACTTGGTAACAAGTACAAAACAGCAGCTGGCAACAAGGCACTGAGAGCTGTTGCAAATACTGAAGAATTCTTCCCAACTCACCAATAATGCCTAAGGTTAATGTGAAAAGGCCATTTGCCTTTTTGAAACACTGAATTTCATTTTCTTTTTTTTTTATTCCTAGGCTAGCCTTGAACATGAACTGCATTTGAAGACAATAACAAAGTACTGTTTAACATTTACAAGTATAATAAAGTATCTATTAGTGTTGAAGAATACAAATGTCAGGAATGTTTGATATTAAACTAAACTTGCTTTTAACAAGCTAGTATTCTTGTTAGATTATTAGAATATTCCTTAAAATGCTACTTTTAAAAGGTTCCTAGTCATAAAAATACATAATGGCAGACGGTCTAATCTGTAGTGATTGATATGAAAAATGAAAAGTTATAATTTATCCATAAAGTTATGTAATGCTAAGGTGGTATTATCTACATGAACAAAAAATAAACCCTAAATAATGTTAGGAGATCAGTCAGTAAGATCACTGGTCTAATTTTTAAGCAACTGAATTTGTTTAATACAGAAATATCTTAGTTCAGTAGGGGCTAGGAAATTAAAAAAAAACTACCCTCTGCAAAAATGAGTTAGATTAGATTAAGACTTCTCTAAAACTTCTGATAAAATGTCTGCTCTCAGCGAAGGTTAAGTTATCACATCTTAAGTCCACTGTTCAATTACAGTAAGCCTCTGAACTGGTGCACTGAAATAACCCTTACCTTTATTTGTACACATACATTTAAATAATAATGAAGATTTCAAATTATGTTCAGAAAGTCAATATCTAGAAAACTGAGTCAAAGGTAAGGATAAAAAAAATCCCAGTATTTTCCTGAGCATATAAAAATTTCGTAATTGTATCTGCCAGCAGATTTCAACTGCCCTTGAACTGCCCCCGCCAAACATCTCAATTGTATTTTATACATATTTTGTATATATCTTTGCATATATACCTTTGATTTTGAAAAATATTACTTAAAAACATGGTTTTTCAGATAACAACAACGCAAAGGTAACCTTTTTTGGTGTCGAGATATTGGACTTCTCTGAACTGACGCTGTGTTTAGAAGTGGGGCTGCTGGGAACACGCTGAGGATCAGGAAGGGCACGTCCTTCTACTTCTGCTAAGATGCACTCTTGGTAAAGGGGGGATTTGAGAAAGCGAGTATAGCTATCAAACTTCATCAAGTTAAATATCTGAAATTAAAACACAATGCATAATGGTTACATAAGCTTAACACATCAAGCAAATTAAGCTATTTTGCAACAGCCAACTCCCACAAAATTTAGCACGTTAACCTGTAAACAGCAGTTAAGTATGACTTTGTTCAAAAACCTGCTCACAAAGGGGAATCTCTTTTTCACACAATGAAAAATAAAATCCTTCTCTGACCACAGGCACACTGGCAAAATTAAAAAAAGGCAACTAATTTCAAAGCACACGTAGTCTTCAGGCCAAGTCTCCACAAATTACTTAGTATACACAACACACACAGCTTTGAAACAATTCTTAAGTTCTGTTGAGCTCAATGAATAATACTGAGGTGTCTTGCCAAAACAGTGTAAAATATGGAGAAGCAATTACAAGAAAGTGAAATGCCTCACTGTCAAGGACTCACAGAAGCACTACTGATACAAGATTATTGGGGGAAAATTGTAAGTATACTCTGCAAACTGCAAAACACATGCAAAACCCAAAGTAACTGAAAAATTAAAAATATTTCAGCTGTCCTTGAGTTTTTTAAGAAAATGAAACTTATAAAGGTTACATTCCTCAACAAGTGACAATATTTTAAGCTGAATGCATTTTGTGCTCCCAAAACATAAGACATCATCCTATGGCACTGCTAACACTAGTACCCTAAATTTAGCACAGCTTCAGGATGAAAAACAAAGCTTTGCAGTTTCCCCCATCACAGAATTTAGCCCCAAAAGAAGATAAAATTGTTATTCCATGCTAGGTGGGAAGAATAAAGGAAAAAAATGCAGAAAATTAGGAGACACAAAAAAAGTTACTGCAGAGACGCAGTCTGCAATTAAATAAACTTAATACAGCAAAAAAAACTACAGTCTGCTAACTCTACTGTACAAAGTGATGAGAGTATAGCTAGTTTAGCTTGAGCTGAAGCCCTACAATGCTTCTTAGCCCAAACTACATCCATGATTTCCTATATTTAACATTATTATCATATTAATCCACATATCTTAATGACTTCTGCTTATTTGGAAAAGGCTAGCAGGTACTTGTTCTTACAAATGAGAAAAAGAAATATATCTTGTAAAAGCATAATTTGAAATTTACACATAAACAAGAGTAAGAAAAATTTACATCCATTTACACAACCCTCCATGAAGTACATGATTTTTTTTATTCTTATTTTAGTATCTTCAAGGGACCTACACTGTCTTGCATCTGGAAACATTCAAAATGATTTTTCTTATTCAATTTATAGCAACAAAATCCTAACCAGGTATTATGGCTGCATCCACACTGTCATTACGACACCTTTAACAACAAAATCAAGGACAAATTTGTCAGGACATGGACAGAAAGCAACTTCCAGGAGCACTCCCAGCAGTCAGAGCCTGAGAGAGAATGGCCTGAGCAGTGCTTTCCAAGGCACTTTTCCACACACTTCAGTAACTCCACTGCAGCCTTGCAGCAACATTCCCTATTCCCCAGCATCACATAACACTCATCCAATGACTGCCACAGAGCTGCACCCTTCACTCTTAGGTCAGCGTTGAAACCTAAAAAATCTTGTGAAAGACCACAAATGCGGAGCTTTTGCTTTATTAAGATCGTGTCACCACCATGAGCTGAACTTTGAACATCTGTGGGTGGGTTGCAATAACTACACAACCTACAGCTCTGTGCTCTCGGGGTCACTCCACCCACCAAGACCACAAACTGGCCTGCTGCAGAAACACCACTTGGTGAAACCAAGATATTAGGAGCCATCAAGGCAGCTGATCAGCCAGCACTGACCTCAGCCAGGCAACACACCATTAGTACCTCAGCCAGCACAACTAGCTCCAAGGCCACTTGCTTGGGCAGAAGTAACTCTCATCCTACTTCACCTAATTTTCCAGTGGGAGGAACGGGTCTGACTGCGGGATCTGATTGAGGCATTGACAACTTGAGATAAGCAAGTCCGGTCCAGACAGGCCATATGGCTGGGACTGAACCCGTGGCAGGACTTCACATGAGCATTTTCTCCCACCTAAGCATCTTCTCCAACCTAAAGGATGCAGTACTTTCAGAGAAAGAAAACCTGCATCAGCCCCCCCACCCGACTCATAAGAACACCATGTACTCCACCAAACAAATGGAAGAGGACGAGGAGGAATTCAGGCATGGCTCCACAACAGCAGGATGAGGAATGCATGAGAAAACGTCTGGGAAGACAGTGACTGGTAATTCCCACAGGAGCCTCAGGCCCTGGTAGGTGCATACAGGGTAACTGTAACGCTAGAAGCTCCCAGACCAGCAGTCAGACCTACCACCCCATCTCCACTTTGCAGATGAAGGATGATACTACAACCAGCTGCTCAGCTTGCCCCAAAAGCATGCAGTCTGAGGTTGTGTGCTGACTAAGATTGTGACCTGCTTCATTAAAGCTAAAGCCTTGATTTAACAACGTGATCTCAAAATTACTTCTACTGATAAACTGTTAGGGCAGAAGAGTAACCAAGCTGATTACTTAGGAGCAAAAAAACCAAGAAACTTAAAATTCTACAGGAAATGTAAAAGGTATCCTATTATTACATAACTACTCTGAACATCAATGACTATTTAAAACACGTCCACTTCAGAGGTCTTCAGACGTCAACAGTTTAAAGAAGATGTTTGCCTGACAGTACCATTAAAGCATAAGTGAAGAACTCCTTTAATACAATTGACATTTTACAAACTATTTTAACCAACATTAGACACTATTTGTGTACTCAACTCTCCACTAAAGAAAAGAATAAGCAACCATATGCAAACACCATATGCAATGGTGCTGCAGCACATGGAATCATTTACTTGCATGAAACCTTCCTTTCAGTAATAGTACTTGTCAGATTATTTTTCAGTTAATGGCAATTTTCTACACATAACAGAAAAACAGTCAAGCAGCCTTCCATTATACAGCCTTTTTCTATTCTGCTAGCAGAACCAGCGTGATCTTGATCTCAGTGTCTTCTTGTACACAGTAAAGCATGTGAAATTATTTTTATAGATTGTAAAGGAAAAGATAATGGACAAATATAGAGCATTGATGTTTACTATGGTTACCTGAAGCTGCTGTTCCTTGAACATATCAGGATGTGGAGAATTGAGAATATCATCTGCCAACTGTGCCTGGCTATCGATATTAACTGGGGTTGTAGCTTTGCTACACAAGAATTTACTGAAGATCTCCCGAGCTCTGTAAGAAAGCTACAGAAAAGGAATGGTAAATGTATGTAGACATTAAAACCATATTTTTAGCTTGGCATTTCTTACACTGGTATATTCCATTCAAAGATATACAGCCATTCCTGTTTCCTTTATGTATATATCTTTTTCATATATCAGCTTTTGTTAGTTTTAGGCACATAAATAGAGTTTTTCCTTTAAAATTACAAAAAATTACAATATTTCTTAAGCAGCAAAAGTTGCCATCAAAATAAAAATTACAATAATCAAGCTGTGAAAATAATAAAAGTGAAGCACAGCAAATGGCTTTTTACAAAGGAGAATAGTTTTTTTAGATTTTAGACCTTTTACCTAACAGTTACTATTTAAATAAATCCTCCAAGATTCAATTTCTAGAAGTCAGAAAGAGGTAAGTACATAATTTTTAACTTGTTTACTCTGAAACACCCACATCATGGAAATAATTAAAAACACATCAAACTGAGCTCAGATTTGGCTGTGGTGTAGACAGAAGGGTTGCCAACTTGTACAAAATTCAAAATTCACCTAAACTGCCTGACCAAAGTCAGACTACCTTAAGAAAAGGAGATGAAGATTTTCACAATTTATGAACAAACATGAGTATGTTTAGAGCAGCAGATAATCTGTTAGCTATAAACACATTATTTTTGTTGGTGGAGGCAGTCTAGCTGAAAGAGTGTAAGAGGCTTTTCCTTGACATATTAAATTAACTGGCTCTGCACTCTCATGCTCTGGCTGACCAAAGCTGGCCATTTCTAACATCCAGGACACTTTACCTCATTTTTACAGAGCTACCTCTGCACTTTGCTGCAGTTTAAATATATCCAACATCTTAAATTTAGGTCAGCCAACCCTATTTTAGCGATGTCACGTACAAAGACCAAGCACAGCTCCAATAATTTCAATAATCTTGAAGGAGTAACAATTTTTGAAGCGGTAACACAGTGTACCGAAATACAACATTGACTTACCTCTTTTTTATCATGTGCAGGTACATGGTTAAAATATTCACAGGCCTGCCAAAATAAAATATTTTCTTCACTAAATTCTTTCCGGAGAAACTCCTAGGGGAAAAAAATAAACAAATAAATAAATGTCTCAAAGAAAAGTTACTTGCCAATTCGAACAACTTATTTAAGTTTGCATAACAGTAACTTTTCAATCAGTCTCACACGCCAGTTCTCTTTTAAAGTAAAAATCAAGGTATGTCCAATACACACCCAGAGTTTCTCCTCTCTCTCATTTCTTTTTAAGGGTGTATGACTAAGAAGAATCCACCAAGTTACAATCAAATCATTTGCAAGTACAAAGATGAAGTTTGAGATGCCATGTTAATTAGTGTATAAACTAGTGTATAAACTAGTGAATAAACTTTTAGTACAAAAGTAAATAACTTATAAACTACATTTAAAAGTTACACTATAAACTGTCTTTAATTGCAGTTCTACTGATATAACTGAGTAGATGTTTATCAAGCGGTGCCCACAATCAATTCTGTATTCATTACAGTGTCTTTCTGCATCACCTGGCAACTACAAAACAATCTTTTATCTCTGCTTGCTAATGTGGTTACATGGGTTCTCCCTGGAAAATACTTATTTAGAGAAAAAAAAAAAAAAGTCTCCCATACAACACAGAATAATCACAACTTTTATTTTATAGACTCCTAAAGTCCAAATGAAGACGAGTATTGATTCAGCTGGAAACCCGTACAACCACAAACTGTCCCATATTCAAATCTGTATTTTCTCTGAGCATCTTAAAATTAAAGCATTTTAACCATCTGAGGGGTAAAAGTTACAAAAAAATTAACTTCATCCTCTAAAAAAATTATCTAGGCACTTATGTAATTGGAACTATGCTTGTTTATACTTCAGAGCTTTTAGGTATCTGTGGTTAATTGGAAATCTTAATTTAAGTCAGCCACAAGCCATAACCTTCAATCAACTCACATTGGTATCACTGAAGCTTCCTTATCATACAAGGCAGCCTCAGAAAGCAATGTAGGAAGAATCTCCACAGAAAGCAATGTAGGAAGAATCTCCACAGAAGAAAAACATAAAACTTAAGTTTATTTGCGCTTTTGAGATTTACACAGAGTTTAGGGATTCCAACTGTGAGAAAGTAATTGAGATAAACTATAATACAGGGAATCTAAATCCCCTAGCCAACTCTCTTTAAAAGTTCTTCAGATACGTAACCTGTGACACCAGATGTATAAAAGACAATTATATACGTATAAAAGAGAATAGTATAAACGTATAAACGAGAATAGTCAGGAGACATTTCTGCATTCTACATGTAGTTACATACTGAAAGAGAATCAAATTAATGAGCAGGAACTGGAACACAACTGCCTACTTCCCCACTCAGCACATTCACTCTGAATCTACAGTCCACCTCCCACTTGCTTGCACTGCCCCAGTTGGAAGATGAGGCAGCCCAGCAGTAGTCACACACGGCTGGGAAGCTGGAGGTGCTGGTTTGAACCCCTTGAGGACAGAACCTGCAAAGGAGGTCTCTCACTTCCTGGCTGACTGCTCTGATCAGCAGGCTATTATGCAAAGTGCAAGTATTTGCAAAACATGCAAAATCTCTCCTTCTTAGAGAGTAATTAATTCCTGCTCTGTGACAAAGCCGTCCTCAGGAAAGGCAGATGCATGCTGGATCCCCAACACCCCAAGATGCTTACTGGGTAACCTTGAATTAAATGCTGATGCTTCAGTGTTCTTGAATACTGGTAGAAATCTGTAATCGCACAGTGTTATGACACCCAGGTTGCAAATGAACCAAAGCAATGGCTCTGGACATCTCCTGAGCCTCAAGAAAATAGTGGTGCACACAACAAACTTGAACATTCCCTTACTTATTCTTTAAATTGGGCGTTTCTTCAACACACACAGTTTTGCAGTGTTTATAAAAATAAGTTCTAATTAGAATAAAATGGGGGGTAAAAAAGCAAAACTTCCAAAGTATCTGAGGTTGCTTTCTGGTGAAATGAAATGTATCTTTAACCTTTTAATCTGAATATTTATTAATAAATACATAAGCTACTTTTTAAGTTTTTAATATAAGTTTTGAACATTTGCAGTAGTGAGAGAAAAATGCAGCAATTTCCTAAGTGTACAGAAGTTTAGTGATGGCTTACAAGTCATTAGAAAAATCAACTAAACTTACAGAAGCATCCTCAGAAATTACATCATTTTCCAGGTGGACTCTAACATCAGATCAGAATTGCAATTTTTCTTCCAGTCTGAGAAGAAGTCTCACTATCTAAGCAGAAATGCTTATAACTCTTAGGCTATTCTGCTAAACCAGGGAACATAATATACAGCATATATTATTTTGCTTTCATCTTCTCTGTTTCCTCAAACAGATGTTCACTGTTAATGTGGGTTTTGGGTCCCCACACCAGTTAACACGCAAGTCTGCTTAATACGCATTTTGATATCTCAATACTTTTGTATCAAGTAAAGACGTCTGAGCTACTGCAGATTCCAATAATCTACCATAAATTTCTTCATATTGTCTTTGAGAAAATTATTTGGGCAGCACAAACTGTCCTTGTGTAACATATTCAAAATCAGTAACATACTCTCAGTGCAACAAAAGTGTAATACACTCAATTTCCTTGCATGTAAAATAGAGATGATGCTATTTACAACTTCATAAATGTGCTGTGAAGCAGCTGATTTATGCTTTGCAAATAGTCAACAGTATTCCTGCAAGTTGTAGCTTTATCAAGTGTTCTTAGGTACCACAATTACTTCCAAGAAGTATTTCTAAAAGCCTTTTTCAGGTAAAAAAGCCACTGTATTATTGAAAAAAATCTTATACATGGCTTTCAACATTTCAGGAGATAAATGTGAATAGATTACCCACTCTTAGGAAACTACCAAAACTACTTCCTCCTTCTTGTACAGAGGCTACAGATACAAAAATAACATATTTTAGAAAATGGGGAAGTTTGCTAAAAGTTCACAGACAAAACAAAGTATAGCTTCCATATGAAACCTTTGCTATGCAGAAATGCATGGCAATATGTGCATTACCAGGAACTCTCACTCAACTGTGAACCAATTTAAACTTAGAAAAGGTGCTCAGATAACAATTGAGCATGAATGAACTCCTGCCTCTTGTCCTGTGTAAGGGTAGCGTCAAGAAAGATAAAAGAATACAGAATAAATACTGCAGCAGTATGACCTGCTTTGAAAGGCCTGTTATCATCTCTCACAACTCACCGAAAAATATTTAACACCAACAGGATCCTGGAGAAGACGCTCAAATGAAACAGCCCAACTTGCAACTCTTCTTTCTCGAAGTCGTCGACAGCTCTGTACACTGGGAAGACTGGCATTGCTACTGAGGCTGTTCTCACTGATGCAGTCTTTTAATTCAGTGCTATTCAGCTCTGTTAATAAAAGAAATTAACAAAACTGTCAATAAAGTGCTATTAACTTTTACTCTTCAACACTGTTTATTTGATTTATCACACCTCCTGCTCAAGCTCACAGTAGTGCAGACTTCAAAATATCCTTCTCCATTTTTGCATTGAAAAAATAACCACAAACATCTCTCAAGTTTCTTCTCTTCCACTGCAAAGCAAATGAAATGAGTGTCTTAAAAGCAGTTCCCTGCCAGAAGCAGAAGAGGCAGGCACAAAATAAAATACCTCCACAAAATAAAATACCTTGGGCAAATTTTCCTGCTTACATTCCTCACCTCATGGATTGCACTCCTTCATAAGATTATTCACCAAAGGTAGACCTCCAAGAACCCACCAATCACCAGAATGGCAAAAATCTATCTGGTGATAGGAGATAGCAAAATTTCATATACACCTACATCAATAGAGACAGGGAATCTGTGAAATTTTACATGGAAATATAAGATGCCTGTTAAATACTGAAAATTTAGGAAAGGATTTGATTGAGGAAAAGAAGACTAAGGAAAATGAGCTAGTAATGGATGCCTTCCTCATCCACAGCAGGAAGAGGTATCAAAACAGAGATTCTCGATTTATTAGAGTTTCTAATAAAAACAGGGATCTTTTACTCCCTTCCAGACTCCAGCCAACCTACTGGAATAACCTAGGGTCCCCAAGATAAGAAATGACCAGATTCTTTAGATCTTGAAAAAAACAGAAATGCTTTTTGTATTCTGAAAAACAAATTAACAAGAACCCATAAAGAATTCAGGAAAACCTAAATCTATGTAGCAGCCTAACTAATAATTCAAGTATTACCCCAGACCATCTTTGTTACGTATCAGTAAACAGAACACACAAAATCTTAAAGTGACCATTTGTTCACAGAAGTGGAAAAGTGAAAGAAATGACTGCTCTAAGCAAGAGAGGGAACTGCTTACAACAGGGTCCTATTCACAAATTTGTCATTTACTTGTCACATGCCCTTTTACAGCACTCTCTCTCCATCTCCCAGAGCACACAAAGGACAGGTTGCACTAGAGATGCCAAACTGAAGGAGATCTGTGATGAAGGGATGAAAAAAACCCAGACATTCAATTATTTGAAAAATTTGAAGTAAAAGATGTGATAAAATAATATCCTCAAATTAAACAGCTGGTATATTCAATAATTTTAAGCCAAATGGAAAAGCAAATATGCAGCTCACTAGAAATGTAATCTGTTTGAGACAACTGAATTCACAACCAGTCAGAGATGGACTATTCTTCTCAGGGACATTTTTATTATTTCTCTCAGTTATTCACTTGGATTGCAAGAAGTAATTTCACAAAAAATACTACTTTGTAAGATCTCCCGAGGTCTCTTTTTCATTTATAAATATTTGAAAGCACTTCGCATTTCCAAATTTTATGTTACAAAACATCACTGCTTCTCCCTGGAAGTATCAACTTTGAAAAAAAGCATTACTCAACAACAGCTACAAGCACTGAAAAAAGTTATAAAGATAGTCACAAAGAAAAAAAGTTCTAAACCCTCATTTTAAATGTGTTCTGGAGCTCAGAAATATTCACTAAGATGTAAGTTAACTATGGTGAGTTTCTGTATGCAAAGCTATTTTTTAAGACAAAAAAAATCAAAGATACAGAATTAGCTAACAGAAGAATGAAATCTAACCTTACATTTTCAACAAGGATAACATTTAAGGGCAAAAGTAACACATCGGGTATTTAAACATTTTTTTTTGCCTAATCACCTTATTAATCAAAGCTAATTACAAACATTCAGCAAATAATGATAAATTTTCTTATAGAAATATTTATTCACTTTTTCCTTTAAGGCATATGAAAGAGCATAACCAAGTCAACTGTTAGCTTCATTAGAGAATACCTGTCATCACAGTGAAACTATTGTGAAAGCAGCTAATGTGAATCTGAAGAGAATGATATCTAAATTTATTATCTGAAGTATTTTGCTTTAACTCTGCAGGTGGATATGTTTTATTTTACAGTCCAGGATATAAATAGACACCCACTTCTTGATAGATCTGGAACAGTTTCAGATACTGCCTCACTCCTAGCGGGTTCAATCCCCAGTGTTCTTCAGTGACGAATGATGAAAATTTCCTTGCTCCTTTCAGGGAAAGTCAGAAAGGTAAACTCATCCCACATACCAAACCCTTGAAACCTACTTGGCTGAAGGAGGGAAATTAGGGAGTGGCCACACAAAGTGCTCAGCTCTCAATCGAGGAGTCACAGTGCCTTAGGACTGGGGAGGGACTGCGAAGAGGCAGCAGAGCAGTCATCAGCCGGTCAGCCTCACTCACCTCCCTCCCAATGGCAGACATTCCATCTCCCCCCGGCAGCAGGGAGACCAAACTGCAATTACAACCTCCGTGTATTTACACCAGGGGGTAACTGCTAACTACCTTTAATTGCTACCAGCTGCTCACTCTCTCCAGCTCCTCAGAGCTACACTCGCTCTGAACTGCGCTGGACTCTCCTCCCTCTGATACGCTGCCCACTCCGGAGGTCCCACGAATACAAATGACTCGAAATAAGACTGTATTTCCAACAACCGTGGAGCTACTGGCACAAGTCCTCCAACGTGTTAACACAGCATTAAGGGATTACTCATTCCCAATAAACTGTCTCTGTTCTGGCGGATTTTATTTAGCTAATTCAGACCTTTTTTCAGAAAGAACTGTTTGAATTTATACTTAACCCTGACATTGCTGTGGTTTCCCTTAAAGCAAAAATGCAGTCAGTTTGCTTTTAAAATCTCTACCGCTTTCTGCTGGGGTAGCTGTCAACCTGAAAACAATGCAGAACAAGGTTGTTTCCCGGAAAATGCTTGGTTATTGTAGTTTGTTTTACTACACAGATAAAGAGTTGCAGTTAAGACACTTACAGCCTGGTGCAGATATACCATTTAGAACTGGAGAAAAAGAAAGATCAGATGGAAAGAAAAAAATCTCCCCGACTCTAACACTAGTACACAAAATATCCAAATCACGCTTAAATGAAGACTGTATAAACCATAACTCCTGCTCCACTCCTCTTGCAGAGGAATGTTTCCAATGTAAGACTGCAGCATCAGGTTTCCTGACTCTCACAGCTCAGGCATTCCTAGGTACCACACAGCCCACCTTGGAAAGTGGGAATGGAGAAGCTTTCCAGCCAGGTCACATATTTTGTCTAATGAGCACTCCGTGATGATCATCAAAGGAAACACAGGGCCCTGATTCCCACCCTCAAACGTTCTAATCACAAGGCTGTTGTGCAAAGTGGATTCCTCTTCCTCCTCCTCGTAAAGTATTAAAAAAAAAAAAAAAAAAAAAAGAAGACAATGAGCTACTGGGAATCTCAGGATGCCAGAGGAGTTTAATGTAAAAAACCCAACTCTGCATGGACAGCACAGACAACAGCAGTGCTGTGAAATTTCCAAATGTCCTGCCCTCCTTTGTCCTGACTGTCAGAAGCACCGACTTGTGTTACCTGTAAAAGAGGCTCCTTGCTCAAACACCCCAAATCCCAGGGACCTAAGTGATTTCTGTTCTGTTTGAAATCAACCATACCTAACGAAGAAAAACTACTTTTGGTGCAAACTCATTCAGTTTCATTCATTACCTTTTCCAAACACAGAATTAACACAGAACACTATCTAAAAATTCCTCAAAACCCAGTATTTTACACCTTTTGCATTTATACATTCTGCGGAGGGCCTTGGTTTTATATTTTACAATAACAGCATTATGTAAGAAAATATAGACACTTAATCAACTAAATCTTGAAAGTATTCAGGATAAGATGGCTTCAAAAGTTTTGATTTAAATAACGCAAAGCCATAAGCCTGAATATAATTCACAAGGGATATTTTTGTACACATTTTTATTTATTTTGTATATATTTTTCAACCTACAAATACTTATTATTGTGAGAAGCTAAACATATTCCCTGTAATCATCAGAACACACACATTCACATAATTAAGATATTCTAGTTAATCACTAAATACATTACCTGGGTAAAGCTGATAAGAACCACTGTGGTGCCACTTAATCAAATACTTCAAGCCCTTCACTGAAAGCCATCCTTCTGAATCCATACCAGGTTCAGCTGTAACGTCCCGGAACCCATTGGGTGTAGATTAGCCTTACTGTACAGCACATTGTTCGTCTGAAATTCTGGGATGAGGGAAGCTAAAGCACTTCCCCCCAGCAATTCCTGGGAGCCTCCAACACCATTCTAAGCAAATTGATTCTTTACCCTCATGGCTTCAAGCAGAAGAAAGCAATAGTATGCTTACCACAAAGCATTATAAAATGCTACATAAATAATTTAAAGAAAAGACCTTTGGCCACTGCTGCTAAAGGAACTTGAATTATTTATGTTACAGTGGAACACAGCTACAGTAAGCATGCACCACCAGCGGAACTAACAAATAAGTCATATACCTGTTGAGGAAATAATCCATCTGTATTTAGAGTGTAAAAAGCGTAAACCAGGGTTTGTTTGATTTTGTACTTCGTTGCGAATTTTTTGCTCTACCTTCTTTAGTTACTGTTTAAAATAGGGTTTTACATTATTTATTCTTGTAAACATCAGACGCCTTTCAAAAAGGTCTTTAAGAACGCTTTTCCTTACGGAAATTCTTTCCAAGAGATGAACACTAAAAGCCAAAATCAGCTGAAACTACAGCAAAGTAGTATCTTGGGAAAAAGATGTGCATACAGTATCTGTTATGCTGCAGTATTTGGAAATAACAGACTTTAGTTTTGTGGAACTGATCTCAGTTGGGAATAGCAGGTAAGAACTCACTTAGACATTCTCACTAACTCAGATACCTCACCCCCCTCTTTGTCTGGGAGATGAACGATGATGTACTTCTGTCATATGTTATTTGACCTTAAGGTTTTCCCTTTGTTAAGTGCCATCCAGGTATAAATAGCAAAAGTCACACATTGGCTGGGGACTACGGGGATCATCGCTGTGATGATTCAGATGGCATAGTGCTCAAAACATCAGCCGCAGCCTGCATGCTGTGTACTCGTCTCACTATCCCTACAGTCAGCAGGAAAGGACAGTTTCTGAGATGGGGAGTAAGAGAGACCTGCTAATTACAGGTGGTTGTAGTAACACAGGATGGTTTCTGCTATTCCTAGAGCATAGGTGCTGCAGATTAGATGATCTATAGCAGCGATCTTGCATCTAAGCAGTATTACAGTTTGCATTCTGATTGTCTGCAATTCATTAAGCAAATCAATTACAGTTAAGAGTTGCTACTGGTCACCATCTCTGGAAACAACACTAATTGAAGTACTTCGAACTCCTACACGTTACCTATCCTGCAAAGCCCAAGTGCATCATTTTGGCTGGTAAGAACATCCCAGCCTTGCACAAGCTGAGAACCATGTAAAATAAACACAATGAGGGGTAGATGGTTTCCAGTGCCTGGCTCTAATGTAATAAAAGCCATATGACATGAGGCTTCACTAATCTTGGAAAGAAAATGTACCGAGAGCTGTTGTGCCTCCTGTTACACTGAAGGGATGTATATAAACACATAATAATTACTTTTTACACATGATTTTCCTTCCCAGACTGAAAGCTTAACAACAGTATTTATAGTACCTAGTTATAAGTAAAATACTAATATTAGTTAGTAATAAAATGCAGAAAAGAAGGCTCTGGAGAGACCAAAGAGCAGCCATCCAATACCTACAGGGGGCTACAAGAGAGCTGCAAAGGGACTTTTGACAAGGGCATGGTGTGACAAAAGGAATAATGGCTTTAAACTGGAAAAGGGTAGATTTAGATTAGATATAAGAAATTTTTCACTGTGACAGTGGTGAGATACTGGCGCAGGCTGCCAAGAGAAATAGTGGATGTCCCTTCCCTAGAAGCGTCAAGACCAGGGCTTTGAGAAACCCAATCTAGTGCAAAGTGTCCCTGTCCCTGGCAGGGGCTTGGAATGAGATAGCCTTTAAAGTCTCTTCCAACCCAAATTCTGTGATTCTGTGATGACAAAGATTTAGTCTAGGAAGGGAAGTATGCAGTGCTGTACTAATGCTTACACTAGTTAAAATTGCTATAAACTAGAAATGCCCTAAAATGCGTAAATCTGTGGAACTTAATGCATTAGTGAGATTAAGGAAGACTGGAAAAATTTCAGTGCTGCAACATACTCCATAAAAGTAAAAGCTGGAAAATGTAATTCACACATGAATCAGAGCTTTTGACTCAATGCAACTAATGCAACTCCAAATGAAATTCTTTAGGAATAAATTTAATTTCACTTTTTCTGGTTACAGTCTCTCTGGTTCCTATTTTTCCAATCCATTTTCTGGGTAGTTCAATATTATTCAGTACAGTTCAACTACCATTTCTTACACAAATTACACCCCTCTTCTTAAGCATTTAACAATGAAGAGACCATTCACATTAAATATTCTGAGCTAGATGAGAGGATAAGTAATACAACTCAGAAGAAAATTGCATATAACTTCTTGGCTTTTCTTTCACTTCTGCAACCTTACATGGCCCTTAGATTTCATGACTTCACAAAATTGCATAGAATTAATTGTATAAACAGTTACCTACTGATTTGGAATGTGATTTAAAAGTCGTATTGGAAGGACTGAAAATAAGTGGGATTTTTAAAATAAATTTTCAGCTGGAAGCATAAAAATCTTGAAATTACTATCATATGAGTACTATCATAGGAATCTCCAAGTCTGGAATAAGCAAGAAGTAAAACAATTGTCATTAACATAGAACAAGAACCCTCCTGGAGACAAGATACAAGTACTTTCCATTTTAACTAAAAAGGTCAATCAAATTTTTAGCCTCACCACCCGGGCTATGCACAGAAACAAAAAGTCTGTGCTTCATTTCTGATTTTTATATCAAGCAGGTAACATCTGGGAGGAAAAATACACATTTTTCCCCACAAAAACACATGCTACATTTTAGAAATAGAAAGCAGAATAAACACTATTATTTTCTGTTTTGTTCTTTTTTCACAGATACAACATAGACTCTATCTCCTCATCCAGACACAAGTACTGTACAGCAGTAGACTGTGTCAGCAGTAGAGAAGGAAAATACCTGACAAAGTCAGCCAACCACTGGAAAATGGCTCTGGCAGAAGGACCAAAACAGTAATGTTTCTCTCAAGTGTAGTTCTAGTGTTTCAAGAAATCAGAAATTAGGCCATGATGAAGTTTTGTGAATAGTATTGCTAATTTTGCATTTACATTTGCATATAATATTACAAAATTATCCTTACCATTCAAAATATTTCTGCAATTTCAATGCGCTAGTTAGAGCAACACAGCTTGTTCCCTCCTGCCCCTTTTATTTAATAAAACTATCTTTTACTGTTGTCAAAGAATAGCAAATGTAATGATATGTATGTAAGTGATTTTCTCTGCAGGATGGAGTGAACTAATTCCTGCCCAGAAAGAGAAAAGCCATCTCCTGTATACTCTAAACTATACAAATTCCTTTATTCATTAAGGAAGCATACTTAAACTGTTTCAATTAACTTCAAAGCTTCAGAGAAATCATCTTCTAAGGTTTAACAAAGAGTGGACATCCTTTAAAACAATAAAGGCATGTTAAAATTAAAACAAACAAGCAATTAAGAAGAGTTTACTTAAAAGTATTCTAGAAGTGCAAAAGCTCCATGCTGGGATTTTACAAATGTCAAATTACTTACCCTTTTCTCAAAGTGCATCACACTTGAGAAATTTCAACCTCAACAAATGTACCAACACAGCTTACAACTTCGAAGCTAGAACATCTCTTCAAAAGCACACAAGGTATGTAAAGGACAATAAAATAGAGAATGAGATTTTATCTACCATCCAATTACAAAAAAGTCTACTGGCTCTGCCTCTTTATTATTATGAATGAAGAAGCCTAGTTATAATAAAAATGTGCATATATAAACGTGCTATAAAAATATGATGCAAATAATCCAGTGAAAGTATGTGAACACAATCCTGCAGTGTATTCACTGGCACAGCTCCCAAAGCAGTCACAGAGTTCTGTGCCACTTTGGACTTGCATCTTGTAATATATCACATTATTTACCACATATTATGTTGCCTAATGTGGAAAATGGATTATTTTTCATTATGAAAGTAAAAACAAGCTTCAGCTTACCTCCATCAGAAACAGTTGCTGACTGTAATAAGAAAGAGAAAAAGAAGTATTACTTAAGTTTCATGGCAAGTATTAGAAATTTTGAGCTTCACATAATATTTGAAGTGTTGGCTACTTTTACCACTTTATTAATAACAGATAACATTAGAGAGGAAAATCTAAAGAAACCAGCTGTTACTTTCGCACAGGTGTTTTCTCCCCACAATGAAATCCACCCTAGGCCTTTTAACCACTATGTCCAGGAATTTGATCCCACTAGTATTTACTGGACCAAGTACTTCCTGCTGTGGTAGCTACACTGTTTGCAAAGTCCTTCTTAGATAAGCAGAGAAAATTGGTTGGTACATGTGACAAAGCAGACACTTAAACCTGAAATGGAAACGACACCTCATATATTATATTTTGCTGCACTATCTGGAGATATGTGTAATTAAAATTAAAATTTGGTATTTTGTCAGTCAGATGACTCTGAAAACTTCCTGTCGATCACTTCTGATTGCTACACAGAGAAAAGGTTGTTCAAAGTGTTTCCAATAACCTGGAGATAGGAACTCATCACCATCTCTACCAGTATTGTACATTTTCAAGGACAGTCTTTTAGTGGAACATTGAACTTTATGTGCTTATCTACCCTAAACTTCTCACCTTTGATCACAAATTATCTCAAGGCAGCTAACACCTCTGTAAATCCAAGTAGTGAACATCTCCCAAACATGTACTCAAATGCTTGCACCTTGACACTCAGCTGAGTGAAGTCTGGAGGACAGATGATTTTTAGATTTAAGTTTGTGTTGATTCATTAATGACTATTAAAAAATATTTTTGTTTTAGTTTGGGGAATCTTTTCTTGGTCACTGAAAGTGTCCTTGAACCTTTAAGTAACTTTCTAAATAGTTAAAAAGAAATTCTCTTTTGTACTGCTCTTTAAAAAGCTGGGAAAGAATACCCTATAATATCTACAATTTCTTCAAGATGGAAAACACACAGAATATATATATATATATACATATGTATATATACACAACTCAAGCAAACGTGTCTCTTCACAGTTTGTCTGTATTTTCTAGCCTTGGGAACAAACATTACCACTCTTCAAAATCCACAAACCCCTTGGTAATCCTTAAAAGACTAATATCTTCTCCTTCCACTATTTCACTGCAGGATCTCACACTGCTGTTACCACTGTCTGAAGAACATCCCTTGTTATAAACTGCTGTGGCCTCAGCATTCACCTCTCCAGGAGAGGATCTGATCTGGTCTTTGACACAATTGTGCTGGAACTTTCAAAGTCTGAACTCGTCTCTATTGACATCACTCCTCTGGTGCTACTTCAGATAAACACAAATACACCTCTCATGAAAAACAGCCAAAAAATTATGGCACTTCTTACTTACCTACACAAAAATAAATGCTTCTGGATCTGTGAAGCATAACAATATAATAAAAGTGTATTCGGGCATCTCACTTTAATAGCTTTGTTTCAGGTATGAGGAAAATTAATTCTGTTTAGTTCTTCCATGAGACTTAGGAAAATTTTTCTACTTCTTTTTTGCACATAAGTCTAGCAAGCATATTATGCATTCAGAGGCTGTAACTTAATTCATGTTTGTAATTCAGAAAATTTAATTTACATTACTGAAATCTGGTTTATAAATATGATTGCTTCTAATTTCTTAGTCACATCAGTACAGTACAGCTAATGAACAAACAACTTCAATGTCATTTGTCAAAGAATGAAGAAAAGGATGACTCAAAGTAAAGTAATAGTATCAGTTTACACATTAGACATAAAAAAATAAAAGTAATTTCGAAATATATTTGTTTTAGGAATGGTCATTTACTTCGGCAGCTTGCATGAATCTAGATTCCAACAGGAAGTACCTTCAGTTTTTTGAAAGGTATGAAGTTAAATTAATAGGATTCTCATGGTAGAAAAAAGAATATTCACAGTACTTTTGGCAAAAACTGGGAAGTTAATTGTAAAATATTATTTTACAAGGAAAATGGGGTAATTTCATAAAAAAGCTCAATCATTAATGGACAATGACATACAGTTTAACCTCAATCCCTTTACCATAAGTTAATGCAGTGAACTTTCTACACACCTTTTTTGGATTGGTTTTGTGTGGTTACTTTTAATGCTTTGGCTAATGCGTGTTACATTACATACATCAACACCTTAAAAGCTCCCCAAGCAAGGCCTTAATAATTGTTATGTTTATAAACAAGCACCTACAGGAGAAACTATATTTTACATTACAGTGCCACTAAATGTACCTATCATGTTCCAAGTAATATCCTTTTACTTCTAGAGATCATGGAGCAAAATTTATTTTAAGAAGATTTCTTTAAATTCATCTGTGTAACTGAACTAAACCCACCTAATTCAATAAAACCAGCTTGAAACTTAAACTTGTAATTATTGTGTAAGAACTCACAGTAATATGTTCACTCACTAAGTCTGTGAGTACTTAGACATCTCAACATAAACCTTTCAGAAATTGCATACAGCACTTTTAGACAAAGAAGTTTCTCTTCTAAACTGTTCACCTGAAACTTGTCTAGATTTGTCTAAAGGTATAAGTTGCAAGACCAGATTTTTTTAAATACTGTGATGATCTCATTTCAAAAATACACTATATGTTGGGGGCTGTTTTTTCATTCTTCAGCACTCATGTTTACTACCACTGGAGGCTCTTTAGGACAAAATCTGATCTACTACACATACAAAGTTCGATCATTTGATGAAAATTAACACTACATACATATTAAGAACAGAAAAATGTGTATTAGAAAGCTGTAAAATTGAACAGTTAATGTAAGTAGCCATTTGTGAAAGATGAGGAAGGACAGGGATGACTTTGTGCCAGTTAGTGCTAATGTGAAGGTTTTTGAAACGTACTTAAGCATTTAATTCCAAATGACAGAACATATACGTTGTGAATGGATATATGAACTATTACCAAGAGATAAAATCTAATTGCATGCAACCCTCAAATCATTCACAACCAGATAAGATCTGAAATCAGTTCTTCAAATTCCCCTGGTTTCCAAATTGGTTTAGGAAAAAGCCCATGATATATGCCAGGAGTCTGATGGTAACAAATCACAAGAATTTAAAAAATAAATCTAATTTGGGAAAACTAAAATGTCTTCCAGTATATCTCTTCATGGGAACTCTGCTTGCTCATCTAACTGGATTAGCTGCTGAGTTATACAGACACACACTCCCCATACACACCAAGTTAGGGGGTGCAATTCTCTCCCCGATACTTCAGGGTGGGATCTTCATCCCTGTGATTCAAGTGAGAAGCTCAGTGCCAGGGCCAGCAAGCTGAACAGTGGCTTCCCAGTTATCATAAACCATAAAAGACAGTCTAGGTCTCTGTAAACTGGCAAATGCCTCAACATACACTTGACAGCATAACGTTCTGAATAAGAGAAAACATGTTAAATTTCTCTTTGTATCATCTCTCTTTGCTAGGTGGAAAAACCAGAAGGGCCCAGGAGGCTTTTGATGTCATGTTCATGATCTGCTTGCAGCAATTCTAAAAGAGTTTTAGCTTACAATAATTATCAGGGAGAAAACTACTTTGTGAGTACATAATTTCTTTTCCCAGAATAGATGCAGACGACATCATGTCTTGCACCAACAACAGGGTACAAAGGGAAAGAGGGCATAAAGGAGAATAATGCATGAACCCCTGCATGAAGCTAGTCTGATGACAACTTTCAGGTGACAGAAACTCTTACCCAGAAAATTCACTTATTTCCATCTTACACGTTCTGTTTCACATAGATCAGGTCCAGGGAGGTAACTAGATACTGTCAAATTCTGCCATAGCACCATCATGCAGAAAACCAAAAATTACCCTACTCATATCCCAGACATTATATTGAGAAAATAAATCCACGTGTGCAGACTACCCAGGCAACACAAAACAAAAATGTCCTTTTTCTCCACCCCAAGATTTGTTATTCAGGTCAAAGTTATGCTTAAGTAATGGAGTAGAACAAAGGGAAAGATGGGGATACCAGGAGCAGTGATACATACTGGGAAATGCCAGGCCTTAGTAATAAAATGGAACAACATGAAATCATCTCTGTTATCAGAGTGGGAGTGAGTGCCTTCCTGAGTCAAAAAAGACATCTCTGTTTCCCACTCCTCCTGAGATGCGGAGGGTAAAAATCTTTAAGGAGAGAGATTCTCTCTCCTACTCTAACAATATAATAAGGACAAAATTACAGACTAAACAGAAACGTCTATTCCTTTCCTGGGCACCCAGAAAGATTCAGAATAAAAGTGATTTAAAATGACCTCTCTGTGTCTCCTTTCTAAAGCACACTTTCTTCCAATACAGGCATCTTGCAGCATCCAAAGAGTTCTCTGACTGCTGCCTCCAGCATCTGTTACTTACCCCGTACAGTGTCATACCTTGCACTGTTTTACAAAAGCCCCCCTCTAGTTAAGTCTTTCAGGTTGCAATAGCACACTTAGCTCCACCAACCTTCTAAACTGATTTTCTCTTATGATTTCAGTATACAAAACAACTTTGGAAATCCTGTTGTGTTCTTTAAGAGAGATGAAAGCACTGAGTATTTACAGAGAGAATACAAAGAGCCAACTTTCAAACATTCTGTCGCTTAGCTCAGGGAAAGCCTGTCACTCAGCTGACCGTCTGCTGGCCTCCAGCTTTGTTCAAACTACTTCTTAAATCACCTGAAGGAACTCCTCCTTTTGCCAAGGTAGGAATTATGAGTAGATCCCAAGGTCTTCAGTCACCTTTCTCCAGGATTTACACTACATACACATATTTTTATCCTTTTAAATACATTACAGCATCAGCACTGCTTATGCCATGAACTCCAATGATCTCTGGAATGAAGATCATGTCTCAAAATATAGTATATACTATTCTAACATTTTAAACAAAAAATAAAGCCTTATTACTTATAAATTATTGCTAGATTTTCCTTCTAATAAACAATCTCAAATGTACTTCTCACCTAAAAATTAGAGTA